GATATGCATAAAAATATGCCAAAACGTTAACAGTATTGTCCTCATTTGTAACAGGTTTTGGTAATGTTGAAAGCGCTTTTAACAGGGAGCCATAGTTAAGGAAATTATTTTGTAATCTTACAAACTTCCTCTCGTTGATTGGTGTTAATTCAGGATACATTTGGTTGAATTTTCTACAAGTTCTGGCAATGATTTGATCACACTGTCCGTGTATAATAAATAATTTCATAAGAACTTCGTTTGAATAATCAATATTTGCATTCATTTTTGGCGATATAAAGAAATCAAATAATTATTTATTCGAAATCGAACTCAATTCAAATGAACGGTGTTTTCTCTCAATTATTATATATCTTCAGTTCAAATGAATATTCGTTCAATCTAATTTCGATAAATTATATTATTAACTCGATATTCTAGAATAAAAATATCATTTCACGTTTAGTACATTCAATAAATTATTTAATTCAAATAAATATATGATTCAAATTTCAAATCAATCAAAATAACAGACTGAAACTAATAAATTGAAACATTTGAACTGATATTTTTTACTCCAATAAATATTCATTTTGAAATCAAAGAATCGGTCGTTTCGCTCCAAATAATAGGTTTATTTCGCCATATCGTAATGAAAAATATGTTCAACCGAATTAAAATTAATTTGAACAATTTTTTTTTCTGTGCATCAATCAAGGAGATTCCACGATGGAACGATGACAATCATACCTACGATCTTCCATCAAAGCATACGTATCGTGCTCTTTCGTCATCAGATATTCCAACACAGCATGGTGTCCTTCAGACGCAGCAAACCATATCGGTGCAGCACCAAGATTTGTTTCGGATTTCGGTGATGCACCAGACTCAACTAACAATTTTACCACTTCGAAACAACCTGCCCTTGCGGCACAATGTAGAGGAGTCCAACCATTTTTATCCGGAGCATTGATTTCAGCACCTTGACCTGGAATAAAAAACTTTTGTTCATCTTTCATCTATACCCACTGCCCTCACAATTGACCCTGGGCTGAATATAGAATTCCTTATTAGAAATTCAGACCGTTAACTTTGCACAACTCGCTGTGGATTATCCCAGAAAAATACATCAGTTATATGTTATATGTACACGATACATTTTGGGCTTGAAATCGACTACAATTCGTCAAATTTATGGTGACTATTTTATGTCTTCGTTTGTGTTTTCAGTTCTAATTCAAGGGTTGCAGGTATTTTCTGTTTGAGATAAAATTGCAAAAATTGATTGCCAATACTAATTCGACGACCTATTAAAACAATCATAAATAAAGTGTGAGTGTTATATTTTTCAGAAGAGGTTAGTTTTTGGCAAAATACCTTTTGGGCATTCTACTTCTCCATCTTCATACAAAAATGTGGGAAACTTTTGAAGGAAGGAAAAAAGCAATAAAGTTCAAAATAAATTTTATACAAAGATGTTTAGATCATACACATAAGTTACTTTCGGATACAAACTAGAAGCCCTTTCGAAAAACTATTAACGCATGAGCATTGAATTACATGAAAAAAAAATCATTTCTGAATATCTTCTTTCATGTGAATATTGAATAATACGAAAGTAACTCTTTTCTATATAAAATTTCACTTACATGAAACACTATCATCCTCAATGGTGTACTTCAAAGTTTTGAAGATAACAGACATTCATGTTATTCGATTCAATGCCAACTAATGAAATTCTGTTCAAATCGAATTTTATTTTTTGTGTAATTCAAAGTTCATGTGAAAGTTGTCAATAGGAATTCAATAAATGAACTACGCTTCTTTCATTTGAAGTGCAAAACTTTTGAGAGCGTTATTTGCTCACCTAATAAAACCTCCACCATTTGGTAATGCCCATGTTGTGCCGCTATGTGCAACCCTGTTTTGCCATGTTTGTCATGACTCTGGAGAAGCTCCGCGGATCTGCTCAACAGTAAGCCAACCACAGTACTATGTCCTCCATAGCAGGCCAAGTGCATTGAGTTATAACCCTGTTAAAAATTGAATACATATATACTGAATAACGTTATTGAATATCTCTTACATTTTCGTGGGTTGCAGCGTCAACTTGTACACCAGCAGAATTCAACAATAACCTCACAACATTTTCATTCCCAGAGAAGGAAGCTAGATGGAGCGGTGTCATACCAGATTCATTTCCTAAAGTAGGCACTAACGACGCTCCATTTGGTGGGTCGGATTTAACTGTTCCAGGGACGTGAGTTAACAGTTCTCGCACCGTATCAGCTTGGCCGAAATAAGCAGCAACGTGAAGAGGAGTCACTCCAAGTTTCTTACTAATAATGCGAAGAGAATTGGAAGACCGCAAAACTTCAAGTACTTGCATGTGTCCGTACTGGGCAGCCAGATGTACTGCGGTGAAGCCTGCCCTATTTTCATCTGTTATATTAGCACCAGCTCTGACTAAGGCTTTTACGACTTCGGCATGTCCTCCTTCTGCAGCAATCTGCAGTGGGGTAGCGTCTGTGAGTTTATTTCTTGAAGATATCACACCTTGTCTATCAAATTTCATCAGTTCTTCTATCACAGTGACACTACCCTTCGCTGCAGCTATGTGGGCGCAGGTATTCCCATCTTTAGTTGTAGCCATTACAAGACTAGGGTGCTGTTGTAAGAATAATTTGGCAACTTCGGAATGATTATTTTGGCAGGCATCATGAATAGGTTTCTGACCGTCTTCATCTGTAGCGTCTATGTCAGCGCCGAGATCAAGCAATAGCTTGCAAACTTCTATTTGTCCAGCAGCTGCAGCTAAGTGCAGGGGAGTTTGCTTCTTCAGCGTTAAAATGTCTATAACAGCATTGTGGTCTTTAATCAAGAATTGGACTAAGTGAATGTACCCATTCATAGCTGCTAAATGTAATGCAGTTCGACCGTTTCTAGACTTTGAGTTGATAAAGGCTTTGTGAGAGAGGAGACTGTCGCACACTTGCAGATATCCCTGTTCAGCTGCCAAGTGCAAGGCAGACCGACCTTCCAAGTCGAAAACATCCACCCTCGCATGATTCCCAAGGAGATTGTTAACCAGATCAATATGACCTAGAACGAATCGAGACTTATCACACCGCTTAGGGGAAAATTGGGACATTCAAAACATTTGGGGGTTGAATTCGTGCGAAACGTTCATAAATACTCACCGCAAAAAATAACTCGTATAGTTGTTGAACAACTGTTTAATTACCTTTTCGTGACGCTATCAGCAGAGGTGTCCAGCCGATAGCGTTCTGTCTATTAAGAGCTTTCTGAGAATCGGTTGGTGACATGTGAGAAATCATTTCCATCAGCACATCGTTGTTGCCTGCCAAAGCTACATAATGGAAAGCGGATTCGTGTTGTTTCGTTTGCAACTTGACGTCTGCCCCATTTTCTAACAAAAGTTTAACTACTTCTCTATCGGAGTTGGGCATTTCCACCTCATCCTTCGGAACCGCGCACACATAGTGTAGGGCAGTTTCGTCGTTGTCGTTGACTTCGTTCACATATGCAGCTGCTTTGTTTTCACCTTTGTGATCTTTTATGTAGTTGATTAAATGTTGCACAACATCTGGTCTGCAGTCCCTGCTAGCAAGATGGAGCGGCGTTTCACCTTTCTGGAATGAATAAAATGATTGTTTTAGTGAATTTGAGAAATTTATAATTCCAATGCCAGAATTGAAATTTATTATCTAGGAATTATATTGGATTGGGGAAAAAGTGAAAGTATTTTATCGTATGGTGGTAGTAAGAAATAAAATTATTCACATCATTATAATTTAGTGATTTCAGCGTTGTTACAGATATTTCAATTATTTTACCCATAATCATTTTGAGGTGATAACTGTCTTATTCTATTAGAATTAGAATATCGATTTCACTAGTCCAGTGAATGAAAACACATTTACTCTTACGTGACTTCGGATATCCTCGCAAAGAAGATGTTTTTCATTATAAAATGCCTTGCTTGTTGCCTCAGTGCTCATCAATTCTGATATTCGATAGTTTTTTTACTTTTTTGATGTATGATTTGCCAAGCAAACAAGTAATTCTTCCGATGGATTTAAACATGATGAAAATAATTGGATATAATGGCACTGATCAGCAGCTTCATAGAAATGTTAACAGGAAATATACTTCAAATGATGAGAACATGGATCGAATTCTGCCACTATGGACCGTACATTCCTAAAGTTCTGCTAATACGTAGAAAATAGATACAACTGAAAGTGGAGAAGGTTGCTGATGAAAAAATGCATGATTGAGAAATCAGAATCAGTAATGTAATTCTATTTGTCGACAAATGCAATCTTGCCATGATCACCCTGGGCGACCCTGGCAAGCTGGCGCCGAAGAAATATCTGGCGATGACCAGGAAAAATCTACGCTTAACAGTAGGATTTCTAACTGGCCACTGTCAAATAAGAAAACACCTCCATAATATGAGGCTAGTGGACATACTTTTCTATGCAGGATGTGTGAACAGGAAGATGATACTGTCAGGCATGATCTATGCGAGTGCCCGGAGTTATCGTCGATAAGAGAGTGTGTGTTCGTGGAGTCCTGGCCTACACCTGCCGATATAAAGGAGATATATCCACCTTCCTGGAAAGGACAAGATGGACGATGACCTAGGAGGACAACTCCTCGGGAGGATGTTTAATAGGTCACATGTGGCCTAAGTGCTGTGGTTTTACACTTACCCTCCCTACTCTACAGATACAGATCACACCTTATCGATTGAAAGAAAGTAATACTACATTTGAGACAACTTTATAAATATTTTTTGTAAGCTGACCACCAAACAGCACTGCCTGGATAGGATGCGAATGCTAGTGGATGGAAAAAGTCACTAGTAAACTGAGCGAGAAGTATCGCGGATAACCTAAAGTTCCGAGAGAAACCTTCTCGCTCAGGCCAAGAGCCTGGATAATGCACCAACTGCTGATCAGGTGAAATACTTCTGGAGGGACATTCATAAATACCCTCAGCTACTCTACATAGACACTCCACCCTTAGCGCAGTTCGAAGCTGTTAGCAGAGAGCTTCAACAACCTGAGCTCAATCAACTGCAGAGCCTTATAACTTCCAATGACGTTCAAACAATAATTGGTGGAGAAAACTACCATAGACCCATTGCCAGAGTTTTCAACTCAGATACTTTAAGCAACTGATCATCATAACATCCACAGGAAAGAAAAAAACTTTGAAGAAGAAATACTGAACAAGAAAGCATTTAACAGAAATGTATCGGAACTTTTTGTTGTCTATTCTTTTTTATGTTCAAGTTTTTCTATCATCTCTCTGATTTTTTCTGCCCCGCATTTTAAGGCAACAAAAGTCCAAATTTACAACATTCAACACAGACTATGTCTGAATTTCACTAGTTCGAACTTCCATTGTCTACTATATAAAATGATTTGAAATCCCTGAAACAACTAAAAAGGAATAATTAAAAATGAATAGCTGAAAATAACAATTATATTGAGCAAAATAAACCTGAAATGAAATAATAGTGAAATAAACTACAAGTAAAAATATAACAATTGAATAAATAAAAACAGAATAAAAATGAAGGAATGAAAAAAAGAAAATAAAAATAAAAAGTATAGAGATTCCAAGTCACGTTAGTTCACGACTTTTCAATTGTTAGTATCTACAATCGTCTTCGGGTGATGACTGGACTGATTCCTCCGAGATATGACTATTTATAGGTCATTCGAGTACTTTCACTTATCCCTGCCTTCCATTTTCCGCTTCACTGGTTCCGTGGGAGATGACCCACGGAACCTTCTCTATATGTGTAGTAGACAATGGAAGTCCGAACTAGTGAAATTCATCATGAAACATTCAGTCACCTTCAAACAGACTATGTCTGCTTGCGTGTTTGTTTTGCTATTGAAAATACATTTCTCTCACCTTATTCTTGAATTGAGGATCCCCACCATCTTCTAGTAGTAGCAGGAGTGTTTGTAAATTACCGTACCTTGCAGCTACATGAACAGGCGTTTGTCCATCGTACGTTGCTAAGTTTGGACCAGCACCTGATTTGAGTAACATCAGCGCACATTTCTCGCCATCTTTAACTCTTGCAGCTATGTGCAGGGCTGTTTCTTTCAACTTTCCACCTGAAGACATATGTGAAGTCATTTAGTCGTTTTCAAATATTTGGTCTGAATATTTTCATTTTTCAATTTTATCAATAACATTCCTTGATCTACCAGAAACAACGAGTATCACAGTTCGTATCGCATTCCTGACATACAAAAGTCAAACACACTGATTTCAATAATTCAGTCAAATTTATTCAAACATTTTTGAAGGTTTCCACAATTTATTTCATATACAAAAATTGAAATATTCATTCAACGAATTAGAAAAACTGGTAGTGGCAGAGGGACATTTTTTATAAATATATGGTGTGAAGGAATATATACACAAACAAAGGTCTGTTCAAAAGATAAGGTGAATGTTGACATTTCGCGAAATACATACATTCGATTAGCAATTTTTTATTTCTTATGTTGGTGCACTCGTTTCAAACATATGTTCACAGTTTCAGCTGTTCAACATGTTTGTTGGTGAGAGCCATAAAAGTTAGAAGTGCTTTGCCATCGACAAAAATGGATCATAGAATTTGCATCATGCCATGCAATTTTTTCTGAAATTTTGGGCATGAAGCGTGAGATATCGAAACCAAAGTCTAATTGTTCCAATGGAAGAGCCCAGGAGAGCCAAGACCAAAAAACACGTCAAGTCCGATCAAATGTCAAGGTTTTGCTCACAGTTTTCTTCGATTACCGTGTCGTAGTGAGTTATTGCAACATCGTTGTGCGGTCGACGAGGATTATTTTGAAATAATGCGCTGTTACTGCAAAAAAAACAATTCATGGCTTTTGCATTATGATAATGCACCTGCTCACTCGTTATTGCTTATTTGTAATTTTTTTTGCCAAAAACAAAACCTTATTCATGCCTCAGCCACCGTATTCACCAGATTTGGCACCCTGCGAATTTTTCCTGTTCCCTAGATTGAAGGGATACATAAAAGGACGGCGTTTTGCGACGTTTGGGGAGATAAAATTCGAATCGCTGAGTGAGTTCAAGGAGATACCAAAAAGTGCATATCAGAACTGCTTACAGGATTGAAAAAAATGCTGGTGCAAGTGTATTATATATGAGGGGAAATATTTTGAAGGGGACAACATGGAAATTGATGAATGAATTAATATTTTTTGAAAAAACCAAATTTTTTCAACAGACCTCGTACATATCAACGAAATACACACACCTAAACACAAATATATATACTGGGTGACAACGACATTCTGTACGGCACCATTCAATTGTTTGCTGGGTAGTCAATTCGATATTCGGAAAAAAATAATGGTTTCGAAGTAACTCCAAAGTTGATTTTGCTATGGATTAAGAAAATGAATTAGTTGCTTTTATCTCATTTCGAATTATGTCATAATTATGAGGAAAAATAAATATTTTGATGGTCTTTTCGTGTTTGTGCCTAGTGTTATATAAATGAGTTGAAATTCACAGTACAAATACCAAATATCAATTTTTCACTCTTCTGAAACAAAAGTCGGACTCTTATCAAAGATCTTTTATTAACACTTCCGTTACGAAAATACCCAGTTCAAATCTGACTGTATCATGCAGGAGAAAAAGAATTCCTAAAATTTGTTTGAGAATTTTTGATATCAAGAGTGAACAAAAGCAAATGCAATATTCGTAGTCGATTATTCCTGAATATGATTATATTTTTCGTAAATTCCAAAGATAATTTTGATTTGCATTTTGGAGCAAAAAAACAGTTATTGGTGAATGCAATATGAATAATTGATTTCATCAATATTGAAAAATTGAAATCAAACCACTTGCTTTGGATACTTCTCTGGCTCTGTTAGGTATGTTATGAAAGTGCTATCAGCGCAAAACTGTATATCTGATTGGTTATCACACTTAAAGTGACCAGACGTCCCATTTTGAACGGAACTGTCCCTTTATTCGACCATCTGTCCCATTGTCTCCAAATAATGATCTGGGACGTAAAAGTGTCCCGTTTTCTAAAATCATCTCTAAAAAAACTGTTGATAGGTATCGGATGTAGAGCCCATATAATTCACAATGCTATAAAATCTGCTGCAGACGTCCTACCTTTAGATTACGAAAGCATTATTGTGAAAATATATTGAGATTTTTTATATTTATACGGTTGGAGTTGAAGCTCTAGAGGAATTTTGCGCTGAAGCTGAAATAGAACATCAACAAAATGCTCGGCTACAGCAAATCTCGCTGGCTTGCGCTGATATATAAACAAAACGTGCAAAAAATTTCACTCTTATTTAATCATCACCATCTTTATTGAAGCAAATTTGTTTTTTCGTTAATCAGCTGTTGCATATAATTTAATGATTATTGTCACATTAACCACTGTCGAGGTTAAGTGGAAGAACAGGTTATTTTTATCGTCCTCAGATGAAAATAAACTGAACTTCGCCTTTTAGTTTCGTGTAATAAATTTGTATCAAAATATTAATTACCTAATATTGGGAATAATAAAGACGAATTATTATTATTATTATTAAAAGGTGCTTTAATGAGTCCATAAGTATGGAGTATGGTCGATACTTTATGGACCATACATACATACATAGGTACATAGACATATTATATATGGACGTCCTATTTCGAGTTGAAAAAAAATGGTCAGTTTAATCATACTGCAACTGCAGTATGATTAAACAAATAGAAGAGGATCTAATATCGTAACTTGGGTTGATGAAGGTTTTCTTGGCTTCGATATTGAATCCTTATCCTCAAAAATCAATACTGTATAAGGTGTTATAAACACCCTATATTTCTGAATGTGATTAAATATCCTGAAGTGCCCCACTAAAAATAAATTTCTTCAACCGTTTCACAGTCTCTGATCTTTTCCTTTTCTTGTAAAACTTGGTATAGTTATATCAAGTCGTACGCAAATCTTAAAGAAAACTTTTCCATCCATTCTCATGTAACTTAAAAGTTGTCGACTTTCCGCTGGTAAAAAAATTCAGTGTGGTATTTGACAGTAATATTAAAATAAATCTTCGACACCCTGCATCCCAAAAACCAAAGCCATGCGGACTCATACTCATACAAATTGTTATTATTAAAATAACTGAAAAATCCTGTGTAACATCGGACACCTTATATAATCTATAACAAAGTTTCAGTAGATTTTAGATACCTCTAACATGAACATCAGCTCCATACCCTAGAAGAGTTTCAACAACAGCTGGTTTGCATGATTCCACGGCTATGTGAAGGGCAGTATAATTATCCTGGAATGAAAATAAGACATTGATTTCTCACCAAAGAAATCGTGCTAAGCTTACATTTGTTGTTACGTCAACTTTTTCACCTTTTTGCAGCAGTGTATTGATTATTCCAACGTGACCATACCTTGCGGCAGTATGAATGCTTCTGGCTCCATCCTGAAAGATATTGTAGATAAAACTTTTCATGGTAATTACGGTTCGTGGTAATACGAATTTAAAAATGGAGTTATGGGCCGAGTGGAAGGAAAGATGAAAGAAAGCATAAAGTTTTAGCGTTTATCCTTCTTATTATCTATTCCGCATAGTGATGCATATTCAGTACATGTAAATTAAGATACATAAAACGTATAACGCATACTAGGCAGGTGCAATGCAAAATTTGAAGAAAATAATGTTATGCGACAAATTGTGATGAAAATATCAGCGTATAACTATTCGAATATTGCTAGATAAAATTTCTCCAAAGTACAAAATATTTGTCCAAAATAAAAAGGAAAAATTGGAAACTGTGAAAGATACAAAGTCGGTTAACCCTTTTTTTTTCGATCCAAAAATAAAACTGGTGATGGTTATTCGAAGACTCAACGGCGGATTTGAAATCTGTAAACGCTATCTTGAAAAGTGGCATTGAGAAAGTGTGATTTGTTCTTCAATATACAGGGTGTTCCTTAAACACATGCTAATATTTGAGGAAGAAATTCTTAGACCCATTTTAAGAAAAAAACTTTCCATGGACGTATGTCCTAAACGCCTTAACTTTTGAGATACAGGGTGGCAAAGTTTTCAAAAATAATCAGTTTTTTAATAATAACTGAGATAATTTTGTAGACATCTTTGGCATATTTGGTACATATGTTCCATGCCTCAAGGCGCATTTTCTGATGTACACAAATTTGTATTTTTTCAAACAGTGGCATCCCTACGGGTTTCGCATTGAATATTTTTGGGGAAAAAGTACTACGCCAATGCTTT